CCGGATAAAGCGGGAGACGACGACGAGTACAAAGTCATAATTCCGACTTTCAGTCATAATTATGAGACTCAAAGTCATAATTCCAACTTTAAGTCATAATTATGAGACACAAAGTCATAATTCCAAGTTTAAGTCATAATGATGAGACACAAAGTCATAATTCCAACTTTTAAAGTCATAATTATAAGAAACTCGGCTTTCAAACTTCGCATCTCATAATTATGCCTTTGAAAGTCGAAATTATGCCTTGAATCTCATGACTTTCTATTTGGAATGTTGTTTTGTTTAATGTGGCAGAAACGGGCTTCCATATTTTTGCTTCCAGTTTAGGATTAGGACATAGTGATAGTTTGGAGATTGTTTGAAGAGCCTAGCTGAGTAAAGAAAGGACATGAAAGAAATAACGGATATAGCCAGCAGCCAGGATGTAGACCATGTGGGAACATTTTGCCTTTATTTCTTTTAGTAACATGGTTGTCATCAACAGAATTTTAAAGAATTTAACAGCCACATAAACCTTGACTATAAACACACCGGACCCTATATTTGTGCATAAAATGAGCGAATGTTTTATGTGTGGAAACAGCATATCCTAAGCACTCCCTCCAGCACCACCTTTGAAGACAGGGGTTCAGTGTCCAAGGTGTTAATGAAAGCAGTGTGTTTTTACACCTTGAAGCTTTCTCTCTCTGGTTCTTTTCCTCTTCCTGAGAAGAGATCAAGTGGGACAAACTCTTTAAATAACTCTTCATAATGAATATGCATTAAATAACCATGAGATATGGCAACAGGTTTTGACAGAAATTGTAATCTTTTTCAGATCAGAAAAGTTAACATCCATTTTAGTGGAGATTCTCGGTCATCCAGGTCATAGTCATTCCAAAAAGTAAAAAAAAGAAACTACTGGACTTTGTTTTCCAAGTTTGAAGACGTTTCGCTTTCCATCCAGGGAGCTTTCTCAATTCGAAAATCAGCAAGGAAATCCAGTAGCCACGCAGCAGAACATTACGGTGAGAGGATTAAACGCAAAAACATCTCCATCCCATATGTTGCCGAAGTCTCTGAAAAACTTCAGAGGATTTTCTCCAAATACAAATCCCAGTACATGTCAAACCAAACAAGACCCTTAGACAGAGGCTAGTGCATCATAAACCCAAACCTAAGATTAACGGAGTGGTTTATGCAGTTCAATGCACTGAGGAATGCTCTGATCTTTATATTGGAAAAACCAAACAACCTCCCCAAAGACGCATGGCCAAACACAGACGAGCTACTGTACCTCCTCCAGACAAGACTCTTCTGTCCCCCTGGACCTTAAGGACAAAGGACATTCGTTTGAGGACCAGAATGTTCACATTTTAAAGAAAAGCAGAAAGGTGGGCCAACAATGACCCTTAACGACTGCCTTTTCAGAGGAATGGGCCAGTATCGAGTATTGCAGGCCAATAACAACCTCAACAGGTTTGCATAGGGACCACAGGGACATGTCCCTACCAACAATTAGATGTGAATAACATGTTTATAATTTACAATACAGCTTTGTTGCAGCAGTAGAGGAGTCCTAGATGGAGAATATTGACAGATGAAAACATTTTTAAACTAAAAAGCAAAATATTTATATATATATATTTTTTTACAATTTTGGTATAATTCCTGCTGTAAGTGGGTTGCTCAGTGAGCTAAAGACATGTTTTAGAGTCTCTATACTTCAGTTAATGATTAATCGATTACTAAATTTGTTGACATTTCAATAATTGATTTTTCCAATGAATTGTTTCAGCCCAAGATAAAATACATGATATGGGTTAAATAGAGTAACTACAGCCTAGATAACTTGTAGAGTGAAATTAATATTCTAAATGCTCAGTGTCAGTTCCACTGCTCATATAAATACAATAAATTTATTTGGCGTCCCTTGCAATGGCGTAAATATCAGTAAGCAGAGACTGCAGTTGCTTAGGGGCCCCTGACCTCTTAGGGGACCCGACACTGACACCTGATAGGGCCCCTTCGCAATTGTGGACTAGGACGTTTGATTGCAGATGTAATGGTGCGAAAAATTCCTCTTAAAATTCACCTGATTTTAAGATGACTGACCGGACCTTATTTATACCCCAACACATGCCAGATTTCAACAGGATGGTGAGCCGTTTAAACACAACACCAATAGTGGTACTTTTAATTACCAAGTTAATAACTGTGTATAGTTCATTGGACGTTTGGTAAAAAATACGTTCATAAAATATGTTTCACACCACAATAAAGATCTTAAAAGAACGATGTATGAGTGTTTTATTTTTTACACTACGACTTGGAATTATGGGTAATCCAGCGTTGTACTTCATATGGGGCCCACCCAGATAATTGTTGTGTCGTTATGCCATTGGTCCCTTGAATCTATAATTTTGCTTTGTTTCATGATACAGAGAGAATATTTACAAGATAAGAGTGGGTTTACCTCGGTTTACCTCTGCACAATTGTATATCTTGCAAAAAAAAAAAAATACCCGGATAAATCCACATATAACATGCATATTTAGACTACATTTTGTTAAATAAGCACAAATTTACTTTCTGTCTTAGTCGCTGGTAATTTCAAATGCAAACCTTTTCAAAGTTGAAAAAAGTCAAATTCCACGTACGTCGGAGCCAGTGATGCTTCAAATGTGGATAAACAGCATCTAGTGTGTGTAGCGCTTATAAAATTTGTACACATGTAGCAAAAATGCTGCTTTTCTCTTTAAACAAAATACACCCTGATTTTCACGTCAATCATAAAAAAACGACAATGCATATTTTTGCATAGGACCAATGACATCAGACTATTCAAACCTACGCCCTTGACCCATTCTCTGACCTAAACTGTCATTTTGTACAATCTCATCCAGGATTACCAACTACCAACTAAGTTATCCTTGATAATAGGGATAGTGAGATGAGGCCTCATGAGGCATTGAACGTCTTTAGTTTATGGGCTCTATGCACAACTCCACTACTACCTGAACTTAAAGCTACAGTGTGTAATAATTACAGGGATATACAGTCAGAAATGTAATATATTATACATAACTATGTTATTTATCATCATCTACGAGCTC